CTCTTTAACAATTACAACTATTAAATATATATGTGAATTATTCTATACTTTTTTTTTTGGTTTTTAAGATGACTCTCTTTAGTCTTTTAACTTTATTAATACTCTTGTCGAGCATTATGATGAGTATACAGTTGGCTATATATATAACTTTTCTATATTACCTATTTAAAAAGTTTATCCAAAGGTTTTTTACTAGTTGTTATATCTAATACTCCTAATTAGATATTCTATTTAAACTCTCTAATCTGAAACTCTTATACTAACTTCACTAAATCACTTGTATCAAGATCCTTATTTCAACCTTAGAATAATTTTATTCTTAAGATAAACTTATTAAAGCAAGCTATATATTTTCTATATACTACTAATCTAAATTTTTTATTATAGCTAAGACCAATACTTGTAGTTAAAATTATACATTAAACTGCTATTAATCTTGTAAAGTTTATCCAAATCCTAGTATCTATTTTTCTAATATTTTTATTATTATTTTCTACTAACTACAACTCAGAACTAATAGACTTCTCAGACTTTTAATTCAGATAGTTTGATATAGTATACTTATATATCCTTTTTCTTTGTTAATTCTAGTAGCCTAGTTAGTTATATGCTCTTTTACACATCTTGTCATTTGGTTCATCTGACAATTTTTATAAAGATGTTTCATGAACTTCTATTAGTTTAACAATATTATTGAAAGTTTGTACTACTTCTTTACTTAGGATTTTCAAGTAAGCTTTTATTTCTTTGGTTTTTTAGTTTTTTACACTCAGTGATCTTATTATGGATTTGTACTAAAGCCTTATGTAACATTAGTTTTTATATTTCTCTATATATGTATAATATTATACTTCACATAGATGCTCTAAGCTCTCAAAATCAAATAGGTCCTAACTTGGTGTACCTAAGATTACAGATGCATAAACCCAACTAATCAACAAGAAACAGTTACTATAACTTAGATATAATTTTCAAAATTTATCATCTATAGAAATTGAATCTTAAACCTGTTACTTGGAGATTGACAACCTATTTACTTTACTAGGTCATCATACTTCTAATTATTCTATATTTAATTTATCTTAGCAGACAACAAAAAATATAAAATTATTGATACAATTAAACTAACAACAACCAACTCACAAACCAAAAAATTTTAATAAGCATTTTACAAATCTAGATCTAATATTTCATCATTCTCTTTATCAACTACTCATACACATACTTGCTTTAAATAATTTTTTTTTTTAACCTTAGGCAGTTACACTAGTACTTTATTAAAATTCTTAAAACTATATACATATACAATTACATATAATTTCCTAATATCTAAGTCTAGCATTACTTGACCACCTTAATAGTATCTAAGTGCAATCTGCTGCACTATCTTAGTTAGAGATAAACTGCTCATCTAACTATTTAAAGCCATACTAAAAAGGTCTTTCTCCTTTTGTACAAGCATATTTATTGTCTTCAAAGCTTCTTTCTTCATTCGATCTACCTTTTTTGTTTTCTTTTTTTTTTCTTCTTCTTTTGCTTATTTATCTTTTTTATTCTCTTTTTTGGTTTCTTTTTTGCATAAGCCTCTTTTTTTATTTTATTTATTATATTGATCTTCTTTTCTCATACTTGTATTTTTTCACATCATATTTATCATACTTGGTCATAAAAAGTGTTCTATACTGTTCTTGTAACTATATTTATACACTTCTGTATTGTTTGCTTATTTAAGAGTCACTTAAGCCTTTTTTCTACTTTTAGCATCATAAGTTCCTTTATCAGTACTTTTTTGTTTATAATTTCTTTAGCTTCCGTTTTTTCAAATACTGCTTGTATAGGACTTGTAGTAGAATTCTGTTTTTTTCTCTTTTTTTGAGTCTGTTATATACTGTTGCTGTTGCAATTTTTTGAATCTGCTTTCACAAACTCTTTTGTTTACTACAACTTGCTAAATATGCCTAAGTCTCTTTTTCTTCAACTTGGTATATTTGGCACTCTGCTGTTATATATATCTTTAGTCTTTTTTTGTTTAGCTTCTCAAATGTTGTAGTTTGCTCATTATGCACTTGATTGCTATAGCTCTTTTTGTACTAAGTTTTCTTAATATACAATAAACTTCTTTTGTTCTGTTCATTTCTTTCCAAAAACTTGACCAATTATTCAGTATATTTTCTGTTTCTGGTTCTAATGTTCATATTGAATTTGTCTTTTTCCAACTGGCTTCTGTTCTGGCATTTGCTATTATTTTACATAAAAGTCTTGCTAATATATTAATTTTCTTGTTTTTCTATTCTAAATGATACTCTATTCTATCACATTTGACTTTACCTGCATATATTATATTTTAACAATTTGCTTCTTTTTTTGCAAAAGAGTCTGTTCTGTTATTCTACTTATTTTCACTATAATTTTTAATTTTAATTATTTCTATCTTAATATTCTTGCTCTTAATAAGACCTACAATGTTCATTATCTATATTGTATTTTTCTTTTTCAGTATTCTTTCTTTATCTATATTTTGAAGTACTCTATTAATATTCCTCAATGCTGTAATGCTGTCTGTAAACACTTCTATGCTTTTTTTTTTGGCACTATTAGGATTGCTGTTTATATTGCTGCTAATTCTGCTATTGTTGCTAAAGGCCAACCTTCAAGTCCTAATGCAGTTTCCTCCTCTGGCCAATCTTCTTTCTCTCCTACTTGTATCTAACTAATGCCTATTTATTCTATATTGTTTTCTTCTTTTTTCTTATACAATGCTTTATTAATATAAAAACTGTATTTTTTCTTGTTTTTTTTCTTGTTTTGTATCAATATTTCTACTAACTAATTTGTAATTATGCTATTTAGTTTTTGTTTTTTAATTAGTTCTACTTCTAATTTTTCTGTTTGTTTTATTTCTAATAACTTTATTTTATCTTTTTTTCTATTCTTCTATTATTCTATCTTCTAGTATCTACTTTAATATTATATTTATTTTATTATTAATTTTCTCTATTAGAAACTCTAGTATTATTCTCATGTTGTAGTTTTGTCTTATCCATCTTTCATATTTGTCTGTTGTCTGTTCTGAACTGCTTTCACAACTTCTGCATATATTTAATTCTGTTAATATCTTTTCTTCTTCTATATGAGTGCTACCAAGAGAAAATGCTCCTCTAATAATTATAGAATATTCAGCTCTTCTAATTAATAATGCATTAGGCTTTTAATTATATAACATATCAGGCAATGCTTCTAATATATGTCATACAAATTTTGTTTATTTGTCTTATAATAAAACTAGTTTATTTATTAACACTATATTAATATTTATACTAATTATTCTTTTTTCTTTCACTTACTCTGTGCTTTTGTATGATCTTCTTTTAATTTTCCAATCTTTGTTACTACATTATTTGAAGATTTTGAACAGAGTTTATCTTGAAATTTGAGTAGGCAATATAGATGAATTTTGTTCTAAAAATCCAATTTTTTTTCTTCTAAAAGACCTTTTGACAAAAGCTCTTGAGGACATAAATTTATTGGATTGGTATCTTTTTTTAACAATTAAAATTCATTTTAAGAATCTGTTACTCTTGTTTTGACTCTCATTAATCTAAGTTTATTATGAGTAAATTAAAAAAGTTAATATTTTTAAATAGCAGAAAGCTTTTGATACAATGTACTAAATACAGAGGTCCAATCATAGAAGAGTCCAGTTTGTTCTTTTAAATTTACAGAAATATTATTACTCACACTTCTGTTTATTACATCAATGAGATGGTCAATACATCAAGCTTTTAACTTTGCATACTTTATCTTAGTATGGCCAAATCCATGATCAATAGAATTTTTTGTATAGCCTTTGATTTGAAATCGATAATCGATTTTTTGAAATATTTTAATATCACATAACCAAAGAAGATACCAAAGTAAGCACAAATTTTTATTTTGGCCACTACAATTATCTGCTCATAGTTTAATTTCTTTTGTTTTACCTGCTGCAGAAACAAAAAATTAGTGCAACATTGAAGTAACTTCATTTGGACCTTTTGATGCTTTACTTTCAGTATAAATTGCATGCCAGTATTTGTCAATACCTTCATTTACTAAGCCAAATTAATGTATCTTTAGCAATGATAGATAATATCATGCATTAGGCTGTTGAGGGTTATGAAGTAATTCTATATTTTGGGCCAAGTCAAATGAAAAAATATATAAAGAAGAATGATCACAGTTTTTTGTTTCTTTTATATCATCTTTATAGGTCTTGCACATTTTCTGATAATCTGATATATGGATTATTAATTGCTTATCAAAGTTTTTATTTACCCTATTACTACTTTTTTTTAATATATGTTTGTATAAAGTGCATTCGTTGCATATGTCTTTTGATGGTTTTCTTATTATTATTTTACTAAGCTTAGCATTATTTTTCTATAGTTGTCAAAAAGTCCAATGGCTATTAATGCAGTTTTTTTGATTTGTTGAATTGTAAAGATCGAGAAGTTGATTATAAGAATAATGAGATGGCAAAAGAATAATATCATCTTTTTCATAATTTACAGTTATTTTTCCATCTTTTTTTTTATGTATATATTTTTGAACAGTCTGTTTTTTATCATGTTTATTACTGATCAATTTAATAAAAATTTTAGCTTTATTAACAGTTTCAACAGATAAGATATTTTTAGATTAATGACCAATATTACCATGAAATTTGGGTAACATTGATTTACTTTCTCAAATCCATTTACAGAGATGGTCAATAGATTTTTTATTTACATTCAAAATGTTTGAAAAAAATTAAGACAAACTTCACCAAAATAAGGAAGTTGATAGTTTCTAGGAATATTTTTTTGTTTGTATAAATTGGAATTAGAAGTAGTAAGAAGTATTGACATTGCAGAATAACATTTATATTTGCCTATAGTAATACTTTCTAATGCTAAAGATTTTAATAACTCTAACAGAATCTTTTTACTACAATTTTTTTCATATTTATAACACTTTAGAAGTTAATCAACAAGGTTTTTTATAGCTATTGTAAGAAATTTATTAGGATCCTTAGATTCAGTATCTTTATTACTTGTACTCTTTGATTCTTCATCAGAGTATAAATCCTTATTAATTTCACTATGATCTGATTCTAAAAAAAGAATAAGTTTATCATAAGTTTCAAAAAATTGCTTCAAATTTTCAAAAAATTTTATTATGAGTTGGTATAAGTATAAAATTTTTTTTAATTTTATAATTACAAATTTAATTTTAATTATGATAGTAGTAAATTAGAATTCAGAAATTAGTCAAATAAATTTGATCTTAATGTTCAATTTTATTATATTATTAGACTAAATTAGAATCTATAAATATGATAATAGCCAGCTAACAATAAAAATAAACATCTCAATAAAGTTCAATTAAGTGCCATTCAAACTGTATCAATAAATAATTAAATTGTTAATCCTAAGTTTGAGTATTATTAAGTTACTGCAGAGGCCTATTCAAAGTTTAAAAATAGCAAAAGAGATAACTAAGTTTTAGAAGTTTTGTAATAAATTTTTTTTAAAAAAATAAAAGCTCTAAAAATTTTGATATAATTTTTAAATTTTTTTTTTTTGTATAAAATTGTAAATATAATTAAAAGAAGGAATTAATATTTACAAATAAAAAAAATATCATTTTCGCTAATTAATAGATTGATTCTTTAATGTTTATATATTTATTTTCTACAATATTAAGTGAATTTACATCAAAGCATAAGAAAATAACAGCCTAAATAATAATATAAATTTATAGCTTGATTATAATATACAGATATAATTAAACTATCAATTGATATTCAACCAAAATTTATATCACAATTTTTGAAATATTATTCTAACCTTCTAAAAGAACTATTAGCCTTTACTAGTTTCTTTGTTTTTCATTTTAGCTTGGCAACTTTGTAACAAGATTAAAATATAACAAAGTTAAAATATAGGATCAACTGCTTTTTCTATATTGTTTGTAAATTCTCTAAATTTTAACTGCTTTTAGTTATAATACTTTTGCTTAATCTTTCAGAAAGCCTTTTGTGATATGTTTTAACTTAAAAGGTTATTTGTTTACTTAAGAGTTGCTTTATGATAAAAAGTTTTTTTTTGAAAAACATTTCGAATATTTAATCAAAATTTTTTTTTGATCTACTAAATTTATGACATTTTACTAAAATAACTTTTCAGAGGTTAGTTATATTAAAAGCCTGATACATTATTGATCAGAAGGGCTAAATCATCTATAATTATCAGAAGAATATTTTTTCTTAGTGGCACTTATATGCATTAACCAATACTCTGCTAACACTTTTTCTTCTTTTTCTTAATTACTTTATCTAGTTGCTAGTTGTATTTTGGTTCATGTATGATCCATTTTTTTTTTCTTTGGTCTTCAGATATCTTTGTCTATTTGATTTTTAATACTTGTGTATTGTATCTTTTTATTTTGTAGTAGTCTTGTATTTCTCTATTTATTTGTGTTCTTAGCATTTTTCTCTTTATTTCACTAAACTATTTAGCTTTCTTTCTTTTATATAACAGACCTTAAAGACTCTTGAGCTGTCTTCATATAATCAGGTTGTTACCTTTTATATTTAATAGTAGTTCAGGTATAATAACTTCTATTCATTTATTGTACTGCTTGCTATTTATATTTTTGTTTCTAACATGTTTCTTATCTATTTACTATGCCTATAAACTTTTTATAAGGGTTTTTCTGCTTTAATATTTATTTTTATTTTTTTTGCTTTAGCTATTATTTGACAGACTAAGTTGTTTTTCCAAAACTTCTTAACTTTTATTTTTCTTTTATTGTTTTAAATGTCTTCTATTAAGCCTGCTTTCTGACATTCTTGAGCTATTCTAAGTTTTGTTAATTTATCTATACTATTTCATTTGTTGAGTCTTGAAAAGAAACTACTTATTTGCTTTGTTATTATTTCTTGGCTTAATGCTTTGCAATTTTCTAAGTCTTTATACTCAATTGTGCAGTTGTTTGATGTTTTCATCATATTGCATTTATGCTTAGCTAAGCATATTAACAATTGATATATTTTGTTAATTATTTTCTCTGACATTTTTGTTAGCTGTAAGAGATATCCTAGTTTAGAAATTATTACTATATTGTTCATGTATATGATTTGGCTTATCATCATCTTTTTGTATCTCAGATCTTTAACTGTTTGATTAACTATTCTTTTTGCTTTCTTACTGACTAGCACTTCTCTTATTCTGCTATTTAGCCAGATTCCTAATGACCTTACAATTTTGTTTTTGGGTTTTTTTTTTATTTTACTATGACCAAACATGATTTTTCTTTCTTCTTCTTTTATTCTTGTATTTATTACTATGAACTTTAATTTAGATCTATTTATTTCAATGTTATTTGCTTTAAAGAACTCTTTTGCAATGCTCAGAATTCTTAATATTTGTTCTTTACTGTTCATGATCCATGTTGTGTCATCAGTATATACAATTGCTGTATGCTTATAACTTGTAACATTATTATTGCATACTCTTTCTGTTATTTTTTGTTCTACTATATAGCCTAGTATTTCATCTTCTTGTATCTTTTCTAATAATAAATCATAGAAAAGATGCTAAATTAGTAGTGAGATTACTTCTCTTTAGTCTATTTCATCTTTTGCTATTATTTTTTCTGTTAAACTATAGGCTATGATAACTTTAAGTTGTCATTTACAAAAAAAATTGCTTATATATTTTCTTGTTTTTTGTAGAATTTTGACTCTTTTTAAAGCCTACTCTAGGCTTTCTAGTGGAACTAAGTCAAATGCCTTTTTTATATCTTGTAACAGTATCTATATTTCTTTGTTCTTTTCTTATATTTTCTTCATTATTATGTTTAATGTATATATCTGTTACTCTGTTGAATAATTTGGCAAACCTGCAAAGTTTGGCTTTTTGAGTATGTTTCTTTCTGTTACTACTTTGGTTTATCTTTTTGTTACTACTTTTATAATGACTTTTCTAAAGGTTTCAATCAGTGCTATTGGCCTAATGTTGTTTAAGCAATAACTCCAATCAATGTCTTTTAGAATTAGATATATTTGTGCAATTTTTTACTTCTTTGATATATTATCTTTTTTTCAGAATTAGATTTACAAAGGCTCTAAAAATCTTTTGTAATTTCTTCTTTGCATATTTTATTAATGTGTAGCTTATGTCTGATATGTCTAAGGCTGTATTTACTTTAAGCTCTTTAAGTATTTTTTCCTATTTTTTTTTTTTATTCTTTTCTCTAATTCTTTATATCAAGTCTTATTAATCTGATCTTTTGGATTATATACTTTTTTTTTATTCTTCTGCTATTTCTTTAAGTTTAGTTTTTCATTTTCTGAATTGGTTTTTAAAATAAGCTGCCAAACTATTTAAGACTGTGTTTGGTTCTAATATTAGGTTGACTTCTTTTTTGTCTTGTATTATAAATCTGTCTAAAACAATCTTTTTGTATAGTTTATTCAGCAAGCTAACAATTATTCAATCTTAATTTATTTTAATCATTTTACATTTTCTGTTTATGTTTTTTCTATCTGTTTTCTTTGTACTTGTTCTTATTCCTCTTTTCTTTTTTCTTTAATTATTCTTTGCTAATCTTTAATATCATCTATTCAAGCTTTTAACTAATGTCTGTATAGTTTTAATAATGTTGCTTCTAACTCTTTTCCTATAATTTGGAGTTTGTTGTTTGTTTCAGCTCTTTCATTTTTTTTTTTACTTTTTGATTCTTCTTACTTTTTGTTTTCTTAATTATTTGTTGGAGTTTAATAATGTAATTGTGTTTCTTCATCTTTTTCCAGTCTTATCTTCTATTTAACTTAGTGTTAAATATTTTTTTCTTTAGGATGTGCTTGTTTGCTGCTTCAATTATAGTTTTTTCTATTGCATCCTACATTTAGTCTAGTATTTTTATACTATATTCTGTTTTTATATTATCATCTTTTAGTTATTTTAACACTCTTTTTTACTTTAGCTAATTTTGCAACTCTTTTGCATAATCTTTTCAGTCTTCTTGTTTTGTTTCTTCATATAGGTATATTGTTTTTGTCTGGTTTTTACATTTAATTTCTGCTCTGCTACTATTTGCAAGTATGTGTTTTATTTATATTTTTGTTGTTATTATCTTATAATCACTGTCTGTTAAGTCTTCTGCTTCCTTAATATTAACTTTTTGCAGACTTGATGCAATTGTTTCTGATAGCCAAATATAATTTATTCTTGTTGCAGCTTCTTAACTTGATCATGTGTATGTTTTTTTTGTTGAATGCAGATTTCTGTATAAGTCTATAAAGTTTTGCCTTTTGAGTTAGTTAAATATTGGCAGTTTTTTGTAGTTTGATGTTTGTGGGTATTGTCTGTTTAGTACATTATTTATTATATGATTAAAATCCCCAAATATGATTACTTCTATATATTTTTTTCTGTTTGTTATTACTTCTACAATTCATTGCTAAATTTTCTTACTTATTAACTTGTTATTTAGTAGGATATATACTCCTAGTACAACTAATTCTAATTGTTTAAAGTATAGTCTCACTTCTAGTATATATTCACTAACTCTTTTAACTGCTTCTATATGTTTTTTCTATTTTTCATCTATTAAGAGTAGAGTTTAATATAGATCATTTTTCATATGACTTTGGTAAATTTTTTTTATTTTTAATATTTTAAAAAATTTTATTAAGTTAATTATTTTAAATTATTAAGTAAAGTTTGTAGAATAGGTTTTTTTGATTTTAATGATAATAAAATCATTAAAATCAGTTAAATATTTAATAAAAAATATGTATTTAAAAATTAGATATTATTTTTTTCATATGATAATCATGCAATATAAACCAATCAAAATAACTGATATTGTGTTACTACAGGAAATTTGAGATCATTACAGAAAACTTTACAACTTATACAAGTATATTTTTTTTTAATATTTTAACTATTAAATTTTATACTATTGTAAAAAGCATGTTTTAATATATATATATTATAAAATTTTAATAAAAATTAAATATAATTATAAAAAGTTTTATTAGTAACATCTTTCAATTTTTTATAAAAATTTTAATCAGACATGCAAATCATATGACAAATGATCTATATCAGACTCTACCCTTAATATTCCTATATCTGAATCTTTTTTTTTGTCTATTATCACATTAGTCCAATAACCCTTATACTGTGTATTATAATTATGCAATAAAAATTTTCACTCTTTTTCTGTAATATTTGTTTCTATTATTCCCACTATTGTGAGTTCTTCTTTTCTTGCTCATTCTAGAAGGTTTTCTAATTTCCATTTTCTGATTTAAGTTCATTAATATTGTAACATGCTATTTTTAATTTTTTCTTTCTCTGTTTTTAATTTTTTTCAGATGTTTATGTCTTGTTTTTATGTTTTCTATATTTTTTTTTTTTTTTTTTTAGTTTTTTATTATAACTAGGAGATGCATTTATATTTCTTTTTTCAAAAATTCTTTTTTCATTATTAAGAACTTTCCAACCTTCTGATCTATACTCATTAATTCAACTATAGCACCATTAGAAGCAATTGGTAATATCTTTTTCTGTCTTCTATTTTATCTTGTTTTGTTATACAGCTACTTACTATATTATTGTAGACACTTTTTTGCGCTCAATAACTTAGAATCGGGTAAGTAAATGCGGTACAAATTTTTTTTTATATAATAAGCAAATCTGCAAGTACAATATATTAAAATTTTGCACAGTTCAGTTTAGTTATACAGAAGTTATGCAATGAAGACTCAGAGTTTCCTTTTTTGTATAGAACCGAAAATCAATTTTGAATTTTTTTTTTTTTTAAAAAAAAAAAAAATTCATTAAAAATCTTTTTTATTAGCTTCGTGCCTAGAATTTTT